TCGTCTACTACTACTACTACTACAACTACTACTGCTACTACTACCACTGCTCCTACTACTACTACTACTACTACCACTACCACTACCACTACCACTACCACTACCACTACTACTACTACTACTACTACTACTACTACTACTACTACTACTACTACTACTACTACTACTACTACTACTACTACTACTACTACTACTACTACTACTACTACTACTACTACTACTACTACTACTAGACTACTACTACCAAGTCAAGGGCTGGCCAGAGGGAGATGCGCAATCCAATTTTCGACATGATGCATTGTCTTTGCCCTGCTGAAACAGGGTTTGAGAGCATGTAATGCGACTTGAGACTTCTTGTATAAATTATACACGGAGTCTGAAGCTTGCATTACATGCTCTTTGTGCGCGTTGCCTGCAGTCATGTCCTCCGAGCTGGCTTTGGTCATCGACTTCGACCCGACAGAGCCAATAAAAGCAGCAGTGCGTCCAAACTCCATATCAACGACAAGCTTGGGGCTGCACCTGGGAGAATAGTGGCCCGGTTGTTGGAACAACCCTGGTGGGCCCCATATTGGGCTTAAGAGCTCCACTTCTTGCTTTTTTCTGGGTCTAGGTCTCGCATGCTCGATCAAAGCAAGACAGGTCGCTGGTGGCAATGGTCTAATTTAGTTGCCTGAGACACGGTACAGTTACAGTTAATTTGGTGTACAGCCGCGTCGATGGTCTCGATTCTGATGAGGCTTGGACCGGGCGTCGTTTCGGCAAGGCGTCGCACGATCTTTGTATGGCAGTGTCTGAGAAATTGGTTCCTGGCTCCCAGACCGATGCGTGCCCGAAGACAAAATTAAATAATACACGTGTCAGTAAGGTTCTCTGTGTCAGGGTAGGACGTTAATCAAGGCGGTCAGTATCGGGCTATAGGGCCCACTGCCCTCTAGGCCAAACTCCTCGAGCGCCGTTTGGGCCCCAGCTGATCATGTCTTCTGCGTCCTGGCTCCAGCTGTTATTGATATACTCCGCAGGCAGATGATTGTGTGACTGTGTCACAGTGCAGGGTAGATGACTGAGTCTCATAAAAGGCCTCGGAGTTCAGACTGAAGGTGCGGGCACCAGCCAAGATTCCAGCTTCTGCATAATTTGCAGAACATTTGCAGTGAAATTAAATTGTGTGTCAGGTCTGATGGGCTTGGCCTCAAGTTCTCTTTCTCAGCAGTTGCCTCGGTGATAGTTGTTGCAGTGGTCAGCCTATCAACGTTGTGCGATTTGCGCAACGGCTAGAAAGGTAGAAAGACATGGCCGTGGCGGTTCTTGTGCAAAGGTCGGCTGCTGGCGTGGTCTTGCCGGCTTCTAGCCAGATGCCGTGTTTGGAAGGCAGTTGAAATGTGAGTTTTGCTTCCTGGGTTTTATGCCGCGAAAGGTCTAGCGTCGACATCCTGCTTCTCGGCCAGGCAGCAGTTGGTTAGTAGCGACTCATTCGACAGTCGGCTAACTTGCCTGCAACACGGCAGGCCTGGCTTGGACATTTCTTCGCCACTACGACGAGGATTCGCGACCCTGTGCTTTTGCTTCCAGTGTTAGGCTTGGGATCATCAGTCAATTTTAACAGGTCTGGGTTGGACTTCTTCTCCGCTTGCTTGCAGCCTTTCTGGACTCAGTCTTTCTATGATGGTTTCGCCGGTCTTTTGATGCCTTTGAATAGCTGGTGGGTGCAGCAAGCTTCCAGCGGCACATATGCCCAGCATGATTCTTGAATTTCCGTTTCAGTCAGGTGTAGACCCAGACGTCCACGAGGTCGGGCCGGCTGCTCAGCTGCTGGTCGTGTTTGTCTGTCATTGTTTTCGGCGCTTGACTTGAAGCTTGCAGCAAGTGGTTGCATCGACTGCCGCTGGCGAGACTTGAGATGGAGCAGTTGGAAGGTCATGTCCATGCCCATGCATGAATGGACTTAGTAAGTAGGTCTTAAGGGATTTCTCTGAAGATCACATTTTAAGGCCCAAAAATCGACTCGAGGGCATCCACAGACTTGCACCCTTGTCTTCGGCATGGCAAGTGTCCTTGCACTGGTTCTTCCGACACCGACGGCCTCATGGTCTTCGAAGAGCGACGTTGCCGGCAGTCTTCGAGGACTCTCGGGCCACCCAGTGTCACTAGTAAGCTGCGTCTGAGCAACTGAGGGACATGAGGACACAGACGCCATGACGTCAGTTTGGCAGGAGGAGCGACCCTTTCAGTGTACTGGGCTTGGGGCAGGTCAAGAACTGGAAGCAGTCACAACGACGACTTCTTTCGCCAAGCTGCCACTTGTCAGGACGCTTTGATTGCAGATCACTGGTTGTGGGTCTGTTATGTCAGGCTTACCATCTGCTTTGTCATGGAATGAAGTGTCAGCTGGCTCGCGCAGACCTTGACTCCTCGAGCAGCTTGACAGACCGTTAAGCTGCTCGAGCTGTCAAGGTCTGAATGAGCCGCTCGCCGCTTGGCTGGTGGTTAACAATAATAAGTTGATTTAGCAAATGCAGTGGCCTGAGTAGCTACATGGTCTGACGAGCTTGTTCGCAGCTGAGGCGTCCTGAAACTGAAACCGTTTCCTTCAGCAGTCGACGATCTGCGAGCTGCGAGTGGCACTCTGTGATAGCACCTGGGTCTCGTTTGCTGCTGCTTTGTGTTTCCGTAGCGGATGATGGGGCTGAAGATTAATTGTTGATTTGCAGAGAATTGCATGTGTGCCAAGCTAAGCTTAGGCAATTTGCAATGACATGTCTTCGGCGTCGACAACAGCTTGAGGAGGTCTGAGTCTCCTGAAACCCGCTGGCACTTCCCTATAGGTCTAGGTTTGGTTTTCGATGCCAGGAATTCGCAGGGGCTGTTTGGTGCAATGTTACGACAAGGTGTGTGCAGCTGTGTCTCATTTAGAGTAGTGGAAGTTGATGCTGGGAGAGCGGTCTTTCATTCGGAAAACTTTGTCGTTGGCGAGCAGTTGCACAGACATTGTGCTGATGGCGTCCCTCATTGCCAATGAAATTTAAAAGCACGCCTGCATGCTTTCGCAGTCGCTGTTGCTTTGCAAACTCTGTTGTTTCAGGAGAGCACTCCTTGACCTGGAAACGGGCTTGGAGCTGCACACTGTGTGGGCTGCGCGGGCTCCAGGCCCGTTTCCAGGTCAAGCGAGCGTCACTGCTAGAGCTGCAGGTGGCAGAGCCACCAAGACGGCCCCTGTCGGTGCCCTCTGGGCCGCATCTATGGTGACGCCGAGCATCGTCATAGGTGCGGCCCGGAGGATTCATGCCAGGGAAGACAGGAAGGAGTGTGCCAGCATTAAAACACTTTTGCCGAACTTCGTTGTGAAACCATGACTATGTGTGCTCTACAAATTATTCAAACATTCCCTGCGATGCGGACTGGCGGCCGTTACTCAAGGACGGACTGTCTATAGGTCTAGCCTGCTAAAGCAGCCATGGCGAAGATATCGAAACGTGCCAGGCCAGCAAAAAGGCCAAGGCGAGGACGACAATATTGGCGAGTGTGTTGAGTCTTGTGATTGAAGTTTCGATTTAGGTCAGTTTGCCTCGCACAGTTGCGATGTGCAGGACCAGTACGAAAACATGCATGAAGGTCGCGATGAAGACCTTCAAGCAGGCTCCTCGGGAGAAGCAGGCTTGTTGGCCTAAGACTGACATCCCGAAGGCAGCCAAGGATGGGCCCGAAGGCCCTACAACTATCTCTGCTAGTTATGACTGGGCCACGGTCTTTCTGGATCGGCTGGAGAAAAACATGGGCCGGGGTCTGGTCCGGAAGAGGTTGCAGAGCTGGAACTGGGATGTTATCAGCACTTTCACTGGGGTCGGCTGTGCGGAGACGGTCGCTTGTCGGACTGTTGTGTCTCTATTTGACCAGTCATTAGGGTAGCAGAGTGAAAGTGGACATCCGTCACGTGCCTTTCATACTTTCCGCCTCTGTCTTCCAGCAGGCATTGCTTACCATCCAAAAAGCGGCCGGTGCTGGACAAGCGGTGAGGCTCCGATGGGCGGTCGAGTCGGACCTCGGCGCCCAAAAGGTCTTGCTGGGCACATACGGGTCTTGCCTCGCCCAGGACATCTTTGAGTTTGACATGGCCGCAAAGACCAACCACTGCTTGCGTCACAAAATGGAGTGCCCGACTTGGCCATCGCAGCGCGGGTCCGGCTACCTGTCTGAGTTGAGAGCCTTAGTGCTGGGGATCTGTAGCACGTCCACCATCAGCATTAAAATAGTCTGCAGCTTCGGTCTCCTCCCATCATCTTAGCCGTGTCATAGGCAAGAGGCGATGAAGAAGGGGTTGAGGTTTGGAAGGTGATGGCAAAGGTTCTCAACGCGACATTTAGTTTTACAGTGTCAGGGTTTTACCATCTGGAGCTCGGCTCATAATTCAAACACAACATGTCTTCAGTTTGCAAGATGGTGCAGCTGGGTGGACCTTTCGAACATTTTTATTTTATGGGTCTCTGTGGGCCTCAACAACTCGCCAACGGTTGTATGTGTTTGAAAGGGTCTGTAGGTCTCAACTCGCCAATGGTTGTATATGTTTGAAAGGGTCTGTGGGTCTCAACTCGCCAATAGCTGTACAGGTTTGACAGGGTCTGTGGGTCTCAACTCGCCAATAGCTGTACATGTTTGAAAGGGTCTGTGGGTTTCAACTCGCCAATAGCTGTACATGTTTGAAAGGGTCTGTGGGTCTCAACTCGCCAATAGCTGGACATGTTTGACAGGGTCTGTGGGTCTCAACTCGCCAATAGCTGTATATGTTCGAGGAATGTCACCAAACGAACTTTCCACAACAAGCTTCAACATATCATTATTAGACTTCGTTTGGTGAGCAATCCCAGGTCCATGTCATGTGTATGTATGTATGTGACGGTGGGGTTAGTCTTGTCCGTCTGTTCTCCATTAAGTAATTAATAAATCAACGGATTCGAGGTCTCCTTGTGTCGGTGGGCGGGGCGCCGTGCACGAGCTACTCCGTGATGGGTCTGCGGAAGAAGTCTAAGGACAAGGTCATGAAGACGCATCGTAGGTATTTCCGCCAGTGCTACCAGGTCTTGGATGCATACCTCTTCGAGAACGTGTGTGAGTACGACCTGAAGCAGCTACGTCTTCCGAAGTCATGGAAGCAGCAGAGTGTTCGGGTTGACCCAAGGACCTTTGGACTGGGCTGTGCCAGGGCTCGCCTCTATGTTATCGCTTACAACACGGAGAAGGTCTGCTGGTCTCAGGACGTGCCGTGCTTTGCAGACATGGTGGCATGCCTGGCGGCAAGGCCTTGTCTGGGAGCGGGAGACTATTTCTGCGATCGCAATGCCAATGCATCCTCCCTGACTCAGTCTGAGGCCTCAGTCTTAAGGACTTACGACGAAAAGCCATGGGACATTGTTGACTTGGGACAGAGGGGAGCATTTCGTCGTGGCACGCTCAACAGCTCCCACCTGCCGACCTTGACCACCAACAGCGCGAAACTCTTCAGCAAGGCACTTGGTCTTGAGCCGGGGTCATGCAATCATGTGCTGAATTCTGGAGTGTCCCGCTATTTCCGATGCAGGCCAAGAAGCGGTTCATGACCGCGGACGAAATGTTTCAATCCCATGTTTTGGCCACGAACAAGGATCAGGCCAGTTGCGGCAGCCCGGTCTTGGCCAGGTCTCACCTGTCTAGGTCTTCTGCAGTGATGCTTGCCGGGAATGCAATGAACGTCCCATGTGTTGGAGCTGCTCTTCTGGCAGCTATTCTGGCCTTGCAAAGGGTCTAGATTTCGCAGCAGAGGCTGGGGAAAAGTCTCTGTCTCTCCTTGATTCTGCCAAGCACAAAGGCAGACAGAAAAATGTGTGTGCGGATGCTGTTCTCTTTGAGTTTGTCCTTGTCAGCAAGCTTGGATGCTGTAAGTGTGTGCCTGCTGGTCCTAGGCCGACGACAATGGGGGCTGGATATCTGGCCGGAGCCTTGCGTGGGCATAGACTCATATGTGCAGTGTGTGGCAGAGGACCACGCATTCCCGAGTCGGGCTCGGTCTTTGCTCGCTCGAGGCTGGGACAGAGGCTTCAGGGCTGTTTCATTGTGTTCCCGGGCCGAAGCCTTTCCTTGAACCTGAGTCCTTCAACTCGACTTTGTCTGACCGTCTGCCAGGTACAATTCGACTCTGAGAGTGGACTTGGTCTCGAGAAATCCGCTAAACTGCGGGATTCGACTGCCCCGCAAAACTGCGGATTTGCTGAGCACGCATGGAGGGTGCTTATTGGGATCCAATATGCCCCCTCCATGCGTGCTCATGAAACTGCAGTCGTTGCCTCTTTGCATTAGGGTTTGAATGACAGGTCTCGAAACATCTGCAAAGTTGCGGGATTTGCATGCTGTGACTGCCGCAAAACTGCGGATTTTTGCTGTGGTGATTGCCTCTTTGCATTAGGGTCTGAATGACAGACAGAAATCGCTTGCAGAAAAGATTTTTCAGCCCAGCCGAAACGCCCACCCAGCTTTAGAAAAGAGAGCGGCCTGCCATGGGGCCTGTGTTTTTGAGTACTGTGTTTCTTGGTCTCATATAGAATTGTACTATGCACGCATGCATTTACGCATGCTACTGTTCACAAAAGTGTAACATTATGCAGTACGTATGTGCATGTATATATACGTGAATGCGGAGGCATGTTTGTTCTTACACATACACATGCACGCAAGCATAAGCTCAAAAGCCCGTACATGTGTTTTTGTATATTTGCACTACCTTGGAATGCTCTACCACCACAATCCACTAAGCTGCTTCGAAGCGAAATGAAAAAATCATTTAAGTAGTTGCCTCATGTATCATTCCAGCTTATTTTAACACGTTAACCTACCATGTTAACACCCGGTACTCTGAGGTGCAGAGCCGACTTGCCGTATTCTGATCCCCTGATGTCCTGACTCGGTGCTGAAGGTCTGTGTGTTTGCGAGAGTACTACGCAGTTGAGTCTGTACTGTAGTATTTCAGCATGTCAGTACGACTTGCTTCTGTGGCGTCTCAGACCAATCCGCAATCCCAATGACTATCGCAAAACTGTATATATTTCTGCCAGTAGGGGACACATATATATATATATATATATATACGCATCTGGTTTTATGGCGCTGTAACTAACGATGCACACAGAAACCCGGGCATGCCTTCGTTAGCTCATACAGGGATACATACACTCACAAGCCTATGCATGCACTGCTTCTGTGTTTGCACTACCATGGTACGCTCTACTGCCTCAATACGAAGTGCACGGCAGATACGCCAGCGCTTGTAAGCGAAATGAAAGGAAGTATTAAACATGAGCAATTATTGCATCGTTCCAGCGTAATTATTCTACATTTTTAACACCCGGTACTCTCGGGGGCAGAGCCGACTTTCCGTGTTCTGATTCCCCTATGTCTTGACTCGTTGAAGGCTGTGGCGTGTGAGTACTCAGTTCAATGTTTATTGCAATATCTCAATACAGCCGCATTACTCAATGACTTGCTATAATGGGCCCCACAACAACGCACAGCTAATGTGACCGTGTCAAGACGGTATTTCTGCAAATCGGCGAAAACATATACACTATACACGTGTGCTTTGTCTCTTGTGCGGTGCCATAACATATCCTGTCATAGATTGTATCAGGGTTTTACAATATCTCCAAGTTGCCAGGTTAAGAGGTCGGTGACATCATCCATGCTGAGACCAGTATGTATATGAATGTGCAGATGGATGGGTAGACAAATAGATAGGTGGATAGATACATGGATAGGCAGATAGATAGATGGAAGATGGTCAGATAACTTATCTACATGTATGTCTGCAATATTTGTGTGTATAAAAAGGCAAACACCACGTGTAGAAGGGACTTTCTAGCACCTGGTATCTATTCTATGACATAGTGCGGCAGTATATGACCACGTGTTCAAGAGATAAGTCTCCACGGTTCCTTATGGTCGAGGCCCATCTGGATGCCTTCCATCCTCGCGACTCCCTTTGATATATGCCTATGGTTTACATGGTGCTTGGTCCATTGAATTCTTAGCACACACCGTGAAACCGGAAATGATGACAAATTCAGGTCGTGTGGTATGCTAGGTAAGCTTGGCATGTTCTTCCATATCAAACATGCAACAGGTCATCAAATTTACGGTAATGTTTGTGCAATTGGTGCGGGTTCTCGTGTTCTCCGTCTTGGTTGGTGTCTGGCGCACGCGTGGGTGGGGTTAGAATAGCTACTCATACGGCCCCCGAGTGCCTGTAAACAACAGGATATTGCTTATAAGCAGAAGCAGGGCTAATAAGCAGAAGGCCGCAACCGGCCTGCTTGTAAGCAGACAGCCTGCTTATAAGCAGCCGGATTGCTTATAGGCAGACAGCCTGCTTATAAGCAGCCGGATTGCTTATAAGCAGAAAGCCTGCGTGGAATCATTAGCAGCCGGACTGCTTATAAGCATCACATAAGATAGATTAGACAGTAGTCTTGTTTACGTAGACCCTACACCCAAAAGAACAGCCACAGCGGAAGGTTGTCCGGGCACGTCAGCGGTGGCGGAAACCAAAAAAACCAAACAAACCAAAAAAAACACAAAAACAAAGATTTCCGCACTAGTCTGAAGGATTCCGACTAGTGCGGAAATCTTTGTTTTTTTTTTGTTTTTTTGGTTTGTTTGTTTTTTTTGGTTTTTTTGGTTTTGCTGAAGGTTTAGGGTGTAAGGTGTAAGGCTTGTGCTTATAACTACGGCTTGCAGGACTTCCAGGGGTCCAGAGGGCCTTCCGAAGCATGCAAAGCAACCCTGAACGACAAGTACCGAACAAGTAGTGCAAAAAGTGCAAAACGCTGGGTGTGCAAAAACCCAGGCCCCATGGCAGTCCCTTCTGTTAGAAAAAGCATGCTGGGAGGTGGCAGAGAGTCGCGAGGCTCGAGACGCGCTCCTTTGCTGATGGTCAGGGTTGGGGGAGGGTGGAACAGCCTGTCATAGGGATCCTTAGGGGTGCAGGGGGGAGGGGTGTAGGGGACTATATTTCCTTAAATAGGCCTTATTAGTCCTTACTATGGGCCTTCAGGCCCCCTACCCCCCCCCTCCCCCTACACCCCTAAGGATCCCTATGAGCCTGAGCTTTGTGCCTGTTGAAACCCGTCAGCGCTTCTTCATTGAGGAGCATATCCAACATATGCCCAGCAGCTCCATGGCAGGGGTTTGCTGGAAAACACTCTTGTGATTATGCAGCATTGGGTTGAATGCCATCTCGTATTGGAACGAAAAAGAAGGGGTCGGAATGATTAGTAATAGTGCCTATAGTCTCCATTGTAGTTCCTTTTTTGGGGTTACCTTTTAGGATTCTTGATATAAATTTGCTTAAACCAAATTAGGAACTACAATGGAGACTATAGGTATCACTTGACTAGAGTTCGAGTTCAGGGTTGGCTTAAGGCGCGAGGCGCTCGGGGCAAAAGTGTGCTCGGCTAAGTACAGTTCGGTTCATGATCTCCCCCCTCCCGTACACCTGAATGGTTGGGGCGTTGTGGGATGTAGGCTGCAGGGCGAGGAGCGTTGGGATCTCTTGAAGCGTTGACCCTCAACTCCCCAATACCCTGGAACTCACATCCCGATCCCCTCCAAGTACCGTAGACTCCGTAGACTCCGTAGACCCTAGACCTAAAGCCTCAACCCTTAGAGTAACCGTTAAAGGAACCCTAAACCCTAAATGCCTAGGCTGAAGTCGGAGCGTTCGAGACTCGAGGCAGGGCCAATCTTGTGGTGTAGAGTTTGGGGTTAGGCTTCAGGGTTTCAGTTTTAGGGTAGTTTGGGGCTAGGCTCGACCATGCAGGGTTTAGGGGGTAAAGTTGAGGGTGGCGAGAGTCAGCACCGAGGCTTTCACATAGGTCGCAAGGCTTTTTACAGTCAGCTCGTTGCTCCAATCGCAAACTGTTTTAGGGTTTAGGGGTCTAGGGTTTGGGGTGGGGGGGGTTGTCCGGGACTCCATCTTCGGTTAGGGAGGCATTTTGCGATTACAGCTTTGCTTCTTGATTCTGGAGGCCTAGCAGGGGCTTGGAGATTTGGCGTTAAGGAGCGGCGGAGCAACAGTTTAGCTCCTAGAAACTCCAATATCCCTGAAGTATGGAACATTCCTTAAATTATAGTCGGATCCCTGATATGATTTAAGGTGTGTGTCTCTTAATTAAGGGATATTGGAGTCGCTGGGCTGCGTGCCGGGCCAGTACGTTGTCATCTTTAGCTTCGTCTCCGCTTCGTTCGGAACGGATCCCCTTTTGGTTCGGGTTTGGGCTTTATAGGAATATACTAGTTGTATCTTCCCAAGCCCTTAACCCCAGGGGCACAAGGAATGATCACGATCTAGAGGCCACATCATCCCTCCCCTTTGGGAGCTTCGGATTATAAGCGATCGTAGTCTGGACCTGGTTAAACGACCCTAGTAGAGACGTGAAGTTGCTTAATGCTAGGATTCTAGTCTGTTCTAAAAACTGGAGAACACTAAAAATGTGATCCCTGCAATCGGAAACCGCAGAACTCCTTAGTAGGCTTCTTGGTGTGCCAGGCCCCCTAAGATTGGGATTGGGTTTGCCAAGACCCTGTAGACCTTAAACTCCCAAACTCCAAACTTCAAGCACTAAAGCTCCTAATCCGCCAAAAAAGTCGTAAACTCTAGACACCCTACACAACCGTAAACCCCAAATCCTGAACCCTCACTAATCCCTAGATCCCATAGATTTAAGCCTAAACCCAAATGTCCCTGAACCCTGAACCCTA